CTTCCTCTGACGTCCTCCTACCCTTCCTCTGACGTCCTCCAACTCTTCCTCTGACGTCCTCCTACCCTTCCTCTGACGTCCTCCAACTCTTCCTCTGGCGTCCTCTTACTCTTCCTCTGGCGTTATCCTACCCTTCCTCTGACGTCCTCCAACTCTTCCTCTGACGTCCTCCTACCCTTCCTCTGACGTCCTCCTACCCTTCCTCTGACGTCCTCCTACCCTTCCTCTGACGTCCTCCAACTCTTCCTCTGACGTCCTCCTACCCTTCCTCTGACGTCCTCCAACTCTTCCTCTGACGTCCTCCTACCCTTCCTCTGACGTCCTCTAACTCTTCCTCTGACGTCCTCCTACCCTTCCTCTGACTTCCTCCTACCCTTCCTCTGACGTCCTCCTATCCTTCCTCTGACGTCCTCCAACTCTTCCTCTGGCGTCCTCCTACCCTTCCTCTGACGTCCTCCAACTCTTCCTCTGGCGTTCTCCTACCCTTCCTCTGACGTCCTCCAACTCTTCCTCTGACGTCCTCCTACCCTTCCTCTGACGTCCTCCAACTCTTCCTCTGATGTCCTCCTACTCTTCCTCTGACGTCCTCCTACCCTTCCTCTGACGTCCTCCTACCCTTTTTCTGACGTCCTCCTACCCTTCCTCTGACGTCCTCCAACTCTTCCTCTGACGTCCTCCTACCCTTCCTCTGACGTCCTCCTACCCTTCCTCTGACGTCCTCCTACCCTTCCTCTGACGTCCTCCTACCCTTCCTCTGACGTCCTCCTACCCTTCCTCTGACGTCCTCCAACTCTTCCTCTGACGTCCTCCTACCCTTCCTCTGACGTCCCGCACTCCACTTTCCGTCTATTCTGGATCCATATATACTATTTTTGTCATCATTTATTGACATACTCATTCTAAATGAAAGTAAATTTCTCCAAACATCCCATTTTTTAATTCAGTCTCCCCTCGAATAAAAAAAAAGCACGTTAACCATTATTCATTCTGCAGCTTCTTTGCCAGAAATGCATGAACATCACAGCTGCGTCCTCACCTTCAGAATGCAAGAAGCTTAGACTGCACGTCCTGGAACTGACTGTCTTTCAATTTATTCATTCTCTATCTTTCGCTTAATGTTTATAGGGTGTGTGATGGAATGAGATTTATCAGGCGAGTGACCTGATATATCGTTATCCCACAGTCTGCAAATTAATTGGGATGGCAAAGTACTAATTTGCCAAGGAGAAAACACTCAGGAAGGAAGAATCCTTGACTCAGCACTCAGCACCATTATCACCAACAATGATCACCAACAATGATCACCAACAATGATCAACAATGATCACCAACAATGATCACCAACAATGATCACCAACAATGATCACCAACAATGATCACCAACAATGATCACCAACAATGATCACCAACAATGATCACCAACAATGATCACCAACAATGATCAACAATGATCACCAACAATGATCACCAACAATGATCACCAACAATTATCACCAACAACTGCAGCCAGTATAACGGTTTACACAATGTATCAGTGCCAATTGCTCTCCATTGCCACGTCTGTCTGCTTGTAACTTTGTAAAGGCTGTTACATAGGGCAAAAAGTCTTCTAGAAACTTCAGTATATTTTCTTGTGAGTGCCCTTAACACATACACAAAGTACATATCTCAAGTATAACAACTCCGCTACTTTTAGCTTCCCTTTTCTGCAACTTTCAAAAATCATGGTAACACTTTTGGATCTGTGTGACCCGTTTAAAAGTGTTGGATTCATTACACTCTCGTTCATTTCCACTTTGAATCCACTGAAAAAAATTATTCATTTCCACCGACTCCTCACCACCCAATTTACTTAATTTCCCTTTCCTATTCTTTGACTCGGTCACCCATACGCATTTACTCTCAGATTTCTTCCTCTTAATCTGGCGTCTAATCTGCCCCTTATTTTCTTCGTTAATCTTTTATTTCCTTTTTTTGCACATCTCAGACTCCATCACCAACGTTGGAGAGTGTTCTTCAGAGTTCTCGTCTGTAGGAGTAACTGCGACAGTTCTTGTTGCTACAACACATTAGAACCCTCACTCTGATAGTTTTATCTCCCTACCATTATCTCCAAATGGCATTTTGATAATGCCATTTGGAGATAATGGTAGGGAGATAATGGTAGGGAGATAATGGTAGGGAGATAATGGTAGGGAGATAATGGTAGGGAGATAATGGTAGGGAGATAATGGTAGGGAGATAATGGTAGGGAGATAATGGTAGGGAGATAATGGTAGGGAGATAATGGTAGGAGATAATGGTAGGGAGATAATGGTAGGGAGATAATGGTAGGGAGATAATGGTAGGGAGATAAAGGTAGGGAGATAATGGTAGGGAGATAATTACTAACCCTAAAGGTTTAGTAATTGAACTAAGAAACCAGATTTCTTCTTGTGATGCTGAGAACATCAGCTGGATCTCCAGTGCTAACAGGCAACTAACGGTAAATATTTATCTTATTATTACAGAATAAACCACAGGGGGATGTTTACCATTGCTCCCGTTTCTAGTTTTCCTTTTTTGAGATCGCCTGTTTGAGACTGCATTACGCTTATCTCAATATATTTAACAACGATGACTTAACACGTCTCTATATATATATTGCTTTTGCTGGGAAATAGGTTTTTTCGCTTCCAACCGGAGTCTTACTCCCATTCATCGTAAAACCTCGATATTGTTCATAATTACTGTGAACATCAATATTGGTTAGCGCTACAAACGGAAGATAATATTAGTACCACATAGAAGAGAGAAGCTTACCACGACGTTTCGGTCCGACTTGAGCAATTTACAAAGTCACACTAACGAAAAGGAGAGAGGGAGGGGTATGTATGGGCTGGTGGTGGTGGTAGTAGTAGTAGTAGTAGTAGTAGTAGTAGTAGTAGTAGTAGTAGTAGTAGTAGTAGTAGTAGTAGTGGAGATAGTAAGGAGGAGGAGGAGGAGCCAGTCAAATACTAAGAGGAGCACTGCAAGGGAGCTAGGTGCCCACAAGGGAGCTAGGTGCCCACAAGGGAGCTAGGTGCCCACAAGGGAGCTAGGTGCCCACAAGGGAGCTAGGTGCCCACAAGGGAGCTAGGTGCCCACAAGGGAGCTAGGTGCCCACAAGGGAGCTAGGTGCCCACAAGGGAGCTAGGTGCCCACAAGGGAGCTAGGTGCCCACAAGGGAGCTAGGTGCCCACAAGGGAGCTAGGTGCCCACAAGGGAGCTAGGTGCCCACAGGGGAGCAAGGTGCCCATAAGGGAGCTAGGTGCCCACAAGGGAGCTAGGTGCCCACAAGGGAGCTAGGTGCTCACAAGGGAGCTAGGTGCCCACAAGGGAGCTAGGTGCCCACAAGGGAGCTAGGTGCCCACAAGGGAGCTAGGTGCCCACAAGGGAGCTAGGTGCCCACAAGGGAGCGAGGTGCCCACAAGGGAGCTAGGTGCCCACAAGGGAGCGAGGTGCCCACAAGGGAGCTAGGTGCTCACAAGGGAGCTAGGTGCCCACAAGGGAGCTAGGTGCCCACAAGGGAGCTAGGTGCCCACAAGGGAGCGAGGTGCTCACAAGGGAGCTAGGTGCCCACAAGGAAGCTAGGTGCCCACAAGGAAGCTAGGTGCCCACAAGGAAGCTAGGTGCCCACAAGGGAGCGAGGTGCCCACAAGGGAGCTAGGTGCTCACAAGGGAGCTAGGTGCCCATAAGGGAGCTAGGTGCCCACAAGGAAGTTAGGTGCCCACAAGGGAGCTAGGTGCCCACAGAGGGTAAGAGCAAGAACAGAGGGGGAAAATGTAAATAAATAAATAAAGACGGAACAAATACACAAGGCCTATATATACCCCTCCCTCTCTCCTTTTCGTTAGTGTGACTTTGTGAATGGTCCAAGTCGGACCGAAACGTCGTCGTAAGCTCCTCTCTTCTATGTGCGGGTTATTTGTGTATCGTTCCAGTCACGGTATTGTGCCTTTTTTTTATTTAATAGTAGTACCAATTATTTCATCCTACAGTTTAGGCCATGTCTAGCAGATTTACAAGTATTCAAAGGATACAGAATATTTACAAAGGCCACTTGATTTTAGGTACATAATGTATATGGTGTCCAGGAACTAGGACAGACGGAGAAACAAGGCGACGTAATGGAACACTGTCAGGTACAGGAATAACCAAATCACAAGAGTAATGTTCGTCCATTGAAACGATCCGAACACAACACCAGTTTTAATTCGGTAATAACTGTCTAAGAGAGTAATTAACTGGTCGATTGGTCCTAACAGTAGACACCTTCTGATTATACTGATCCAGGAAGGGTTTCCTGTGTTTTCTCTCCTACTTTCCTGTATATTTGGAAATATAAACACAAATGCAGAATAATGTGATCCTTTATTGACTACGTTTCGCCCACACAGTGGGCTTTTTCAAGTCACAAACAGAACTCCATAGTCAATAAAGGATCACATTATACTGCATTTGTGTTTATATTTCCATTGTGTCGGTATTTTATACCATTTATTTCCTTCCTGTATATTTAATGAAGATTAGATCAATAAAATTTTCCAAGAAGGCATCAAACGGCCCCATCCCTCTAAATGTTGTCATAATTCCATAATTCTCATAATTGTCATAATTCTCAAGTAGTAAATTATTTTCAAATTGTACAATAAAGGTTAGAAAGTATAGATGAGAGTGTACTGCTTCAGCGGCACTCAGTTTAATCGTAAAAACATTTATCATACACTAGAAAGTTATTTGATAGAAGCATCTTGGCTAGTAAAATTGATTTTTTTTAGTACAGTGAGTGGTAATAAAAGCTGGTTTTACTTAAGTTTGCAGACCAATCACGGAGAGAGTTGTTAACGCACTGATCTCTAAATTTTACTACTCACTTGCCATGGGGTTCAAGCCCCAACCGTTCCCTGACCTGTTTCAGTTCTGCATTGCTGTTTGATATTGTTTAACTTACGTTATTTGATGTCTGTGTGTGATTCAGGTTGAAGGTGGGCGTGGAGTACCTGTTGACAGTGACTGCAGCTAATATGCGAGGTTCGAGCCCTCCCATCACCATCACATACACCCCGATGCCAGCCTCAGCTAACAAGGTGGTGTTGCCACACGCTCACGACGCTCTCTCCACAATTGCACCATTCTTCGTGCTCCTTATGGGCGTGCTGCTTTCCGCACTGGTCTGTGTGGGCGTGGGAACTTTTATGTCAAGGAAAGAGAGGTGGAGGAAGGGTACAGGAGAGATCATGTACGCCAGATCGCTCAAAGACATCCACGACAACACGGATTTTCACACTGTCATTTGTGTAAGCAGAGGTAAGGATTGTGAATCTCTCCCACAGACGATATTTTTTTGGTTAATAATTATAACATTGCTTTAATAATAACACGAGATTATTGATGCTGAGTTTACTGAGACTGTCAGCTCATTGATACAGAAGCAAACAATACCACGGGTGGGGTTAGAACTCGCGATCAGAAGCAAACAATACCACGGGTGGGGTTAGAACCCGCGATCAGAAGCAAACAATACCACGAGTTGGGTTAGAACCCACGATCAGAAGCAAACAATACCACGAGTTGGGTTAGAACCCGCGATCAGAAGCAAACAATACCATGGGTGGGGGGTTAGAACCCGGGATCAGAAGCAAACAATTCCACGGGTTGGGTTAGAAAGCGCGATCAGAAGCAAACAATACTACGGGAGGGGTTAGAACCCGCGATCAGAAGCAAACAATACCACGGGTGAGGTTAAAAATGACACCAGGGGTACTGACACCAGGGTGAGTGACACCAGAAGTACTGATACCAGGGGTACTGACACCAGAAGTACTAATACCAGGGGTACTGACACCAGAGGTACTGACACCAGGGGTACCGACACCAGAGGTACTGATACCAGGGGTACTGACACCAGAGGTACTGATACCAAGGGTACTGACACCAGAGGTACTAACACCAGAGGTTTACCTGGAGTTTACCTGGAGAGAGTTCCGGGGGTCAACGCCCCCGCGGCCCGGTCTGAGACCAGAGGTACTGACACCAAGGGGTACTGACACGCAGGGATACTGACACACAGGGGTGCTGATACACAGGGGTACTGACACCAGGGGTACTGATACCAGGGGTATCGACATCTTGAGCGTACTGACACCAGGGGTATTGACACCTTGAACGTACTGACACCAGGGGTACTGACTCCAGGGGTACTAACACCAGGGGTACTGACACCAGGGGTACTGACACACAGGGTACTGACACGCAGGGGTACTGACACGCAGGGGTACTGACACCAGGTGCATTAACACCTTGAACGTACTGACACCACGAGTACTGACACCAGGGGTACTGACACCAGGGGTACTGGCACCAGGGGTGCTTACACCTTCAGCGTCAGTACGCTGAGGTCAGTGTTCACCTGTGGTCATACCTGCCTAAGCTCTTGAGAGTTAGCGTGGGCTGTTACCAAGCACCATGGCTTGTTGTAGTGTTTTAGAATCTCAGGTTAAAGTGTTGAAGGAGATTCTACTTCTTCAGGAGGAAAATAGGAGACTGAAGCTTCGCATAGATGAGTTTGGGAGCGAGTGTAAGAAGGACTTAGCTGGTAAGGAAGGAATGGTCACCAGCAGTGATAGTGGCAGCCGCTTTAAGTGGCAAGTGGTTTACAGTTCAGGAAGAAGGAAGATGAGGAAAGTTAATAGAGAAGATGTGAAGGTAGGATATCGATTCTCTGTTCTCCAAGACGAGTGTACTTCAGTGGTTAGTGAGGCTAAAGGTACCACTGCTTCCCCTGCTAATCAAGGTAAAAATATTTTAAGAGTAGGCGATTCTCAGGTAAGATACATGGACCGTGCATTTTGTAACAGAGACAGAAAGGTCAGACAGAGTGTGTGTCTTCCTGGAGCTGGTGTTGGTGACATAGTCAGCAGGTTGGATAATATTATGGCAGGTAATGGGAACAAGCCCATTATCTGTCTTAGTGCTGGGGATAATGACATTGGGAAGAGCAGGAGAGAGGAGTTGCTCGATAAGTACAGGTCAGCCATAGAAGTAGTTAGGTCTAAGGGAGGGATCCCAGTCATATGTAGCATCTTGCCTAGAAAGGGAGTGGGTAATGAATGGATGTCTATGGCAATTGGTATAAATTGCTGGCTAGACAGGTACTGCAAGGAACTTGCAATCCCATTCATTGATAACTGGGACCTATTCTTTGGCAAACGTGATATGTATGCAAGAGATGGGGTTCATCTCTCTGGGGATGGAGTGGTTGCATTAGCCAATTCAATTGAGAGGGTAATTGATGACTTGTCTAGGAATTTAAACTGATGGATTATAGAGGTATGGGTGTTTGTGGGAAGCAATCAGGCTGCAGCATTAGGGTTAAAAACAGCAGTTATTAACGGGATACCTCAAGGATATGTTTAAAAGACAATATTCAAAATAAAGTTGCTAATAATGGCAAATCAACTGATCAACAAACAAAGAGAGATAGTAGAGGGCAACGAGTGACTAGCTCCCTTAAGGTTTATTATACAAATAGTAGGAGTCTAAGAAATAAGATAGATGAGCTAAGATTACTTGCAAGTGTAGGAAATATAGATATTATTGGTATAACAGAGACCTGGTTCAACCTGAAAGATAGAGAAATGCCTTCTGAATGCAACATACAGGGTTATAAACTATTCCACACTAATAGGGTCAACAGGAAGGGTGGTGGTGTGGCGATGTATGTCAGAGAAAATTTAAATTGTTGTCTTAGACATGATATAAGATTAAAAACATCGAACACAGAATCTGTTTGGCTACAGTTTCTCGAGGGACGTGACAAATTAATTTTGGGTGTAATTTATAGGCCCCCAAACCTTGATAGGGAGTGCAGTAAGCTGTTATGGGACGAAATTCATAAGGCATCTAGATATGAAAATGTTGTGATAATGGGAGATTTTAACTTTAGACAAACTGATTGGAACAATATGACAGGAAATCTTGAGTCTAGTGACTTTCTTGGTACGGTTCAGGATTGCTTTTTTGAACAGGTTGTGGCAGAACCAACTAGAGGAAACAATCTGCTTGACTTGGTTCTTGCCAACAAAGATTCATTAATTAATAATCTTGAGGTTAATGATGAGCTTGGGGAAAGTGATCACAAATCACTTAGTTTCAATATATCATGGAATTACCCAGATAACTGCAATCAAATCTCTGTCCCAGATTTTCGCTTGGCCGACTTCATGGGACTGAAAAATTACCTGGGTGGGCTAAATTGGGATGTCCTAACTATGGGTCAGGTAGGTGATCTTGGTTGCCAATATGACGTTTTTCAGAGCATAGTTCTAGCTGCCCAGACAACTTTTGTTTCGAGTAGGGAAATTAGATCTAACAAAAATGATCCTAAATGGAATAACAATAGATTAAAACATCTCATTGGTCAAAAGAGAGGCATATATAGGCGTATCAAAAGAGGGGTTCGGCAGTTAAGAAATCAATATATTCAATTAAAGAGAGAAATAAAGAAAGGAATAAGAAAAGCAAAAGGGGATTATGAGGCTAAGGCCGCAAGGGATTCAAAGACTAACCCAAAAGGGATCTTTCAGGTATACAGAAGTAAGATTAGGGACAAGATTGGCCCACTTAAGAGTAACACTGAGTATCACTGTCAGATCACTGACAGTGATAAGGATATGTGTGAAATTCTCAATACCTACTTCCTCTCAGTTTTCACCCAAGAAAATACTAGCGATATTCCTGAAATAATAAATTATGTAGTACAGGATGATACTAAACTATGTACGATTGCGGTAACTAGTGACATGGTCCTCAGACAAATAGAGAAACTAAAACCTAACAAATCCCCAGGTCCTGATGAACTGTTTGCAAGGATGTTAAAGGAATGTAAAGAGGAACTTACCATACCTTTGGCTAATCTTTTTAACATATCACTACAAACTGGCATAGTGCCTGATAAGTGGAAAATGGCAAATGTAATACCTATTTACAAGGCAGGTGACAGGTCCTTGGCTTCAAACTATAGACCAATAAGCCTTACCTCCATAGTGGGAAAATATATGGAATCAATAATTGCCAAAGCAATTCGTAGCCATCTCGATAGGCATAAGTTGATTAATGAATCTCAACACGGCTTTACAAAGGGGCGTTCCTGTCTTACGAATTTACTAACTTTTTTCACTTAGGTGTTTGAGGAGGTAGATCATGGTAATGAATATGATATTGTGTATATGGATTTCAGTAAGGCTTCCGATAGATACACAAATAACCTGCACATAAAAGAGAGAAGCTTACGACGACGTTTCGGTCCGACTTGGACCATTTACAAAGTCACACTAACCAGAAGTGGAGCAGGACGGCTATATATAGGCAGGAAGATGTGGAGATGGTAGTAGTAGTAGTAGTAGTAGTAGTAGTAGTAGTAGTAGTAGTAGTAGTAGTAGAGGTGGTAGTATTAGTGGTAGTGGTAGTAGTGGGGAATAAGGAGGAGGAGCCAGTCAAATACAAAGAAAGGGGAGCACTGCAGGGGAGCTAAGTGCTCACAGAGGGAGAGCAAGTGCACAGAGGTGGGTGAAAGGGGAAGTGGTGAAATAAATAAATAAAGAAGGAACAGAAACACGAGACAGAAGAGAGAAAGACAACCCAGAGGAGAAAAAGGAAAGAGGAAAGGGGAAGAGGGAGAAGAAGAAAAAGAAAAAGAAAAAATGAGGAGTCAGGTTAAGTCACGGGTGTTCTGAAGTTTGGAGCATTTTACAATGTAGTGGGAGAGGAAGGCATCTACAGAGACGAAGCCAGGGCTAAGCTTCATACAAGGAAAGTTGTGTATTAGAGAGGATTCAACTAGACGGCGACTGTTCGAGTTGGAAGTAGGGAAGACAGTTTTAGCAGAAGACCAGTCAATAGGATGGCTATGATCTCTGACGTGACAGAAAAGAGCATTGCTAGTGTCGGCAAGCCTAACACTATTTTTGTGCTCCCTAAGTCTCACTTTCTAGAACTTGTCTCTCTCTCTCTCTCTCTCTCTCTCTCTCTCTCTCTCTCTCTCTCTCTCTATTCTCACTTATCAGTATTTATCTCTCAATTCTCACTTTCCAGAACTTCACTCTCTCTATTCTCACTTCTCAGTATTCATCTCTCAGTAGTTATGATGGGTTGTATAACATTCCTTAGTTCCTCAAAAAGTTATTTTTGATCGTTCTTTATTACAAGCCAGCAGTCTACACCACTGATGGAGCAAATTCCATCTGATGAACGTACCCTCAAGCCATGGCATGCCTGGGTATACTATGCTCCTCTCAACCCATTACTGT